TGTAGTAGGCTGGATGAGACATGCTGTGTGTTCTTGGTAGTAGGCTGGACGAGACATATGCTGTGTGTTCTTGGTAGTAGACGTATGCTGTGTGTTCTTGGTAGTAGGCTGGATGAGACATGCTGTGTGTTCTTGGTAGTAGGCTGGACGAGACATATGCTGTGTGTTCTTGGTAGTAGGCTGGATGAGACATGTGTTTTAATACTTTAGCCTCTGACCTCTTCTAGTTACTTTTACTGAAGTCGTTATAGTTGTAAAATCATAGATCAATGTTGTTTAAAGTTTTAGATAGTTTTTGATAAAGTGCTAATAGTCGACAAGGTAGATCATGTTTAATGTGAGGACATTTAACTTTATTGAAGGATACTTGTGCAGAAAGAGATGATGTTCAGCAGATGTCTCCTCCACAGAAGCAGAGACTTCGTTCTCTCGATACTGTAAGAGGGTAGGTAAATTGTGTGCTTTATGCCAAGAACAGTAAGTTGTTTCATCTATGTATATCATGAAGATTATGCTAGCTGAAGCATGAAAGTTTGTATTGCATAAACCTTGTGCTTGCGACTAGATTCAGAACATGGGTAAAAACCTTGATGTTTATAAACATAATGATAATTTTAACTTAGTCTAGATTATAATTGCATCTATGGTTAAAATAGTCACTTGTGTTGGATGTCATAATGTTAATTGTGGAATTCTCTTGATGGTTGAAATCAACTTTTGTTTGTACCAATTTTATTGGTTTAATATCAGTTAAGGAAGAATTGTTATGCACATTGGAAATTATACTATTCTAACAATAATGGACTGAAAAGGTTTTTATTTATATTGGTGAAAGTAAATAGGATTACTTTAATCATTCTGTCACACCAGTTGTATGGTTTGTTTTTGGTATAGCAGAGAAACTAGTGGATGAAGTGGTAAAGATTTCACATCAGCAAATAAAATATTTGTATAACTTCACAGCTTTTATAATTTGAAAAGAAGTCACTGTGATACATTTTCTCAAGAAACAACTAAAAAACATATACCTTTATTGTAGGTTCTTATGTTTTTCTACATTCTTGTAAAACTTTTATATAAAGTTGTATTTTATAAAACTTTAAATTTGATCACTTCTCTAAGAATGATAGATATTTATCTGTACGGTTTCAGAGTGTGATCACAGTTGAATGTTCTAGAAAAGTATAGAATTTTAACATATTGATTTCAAAACTTTAATGACATAATATTTAACAGTTTTGTTTTTGTGTTATGGAAATTATTACGAGATCCATTATGTTTTTCTATTTGTCATGTCATGTTCTATTTGTAAATGTTTATTTTCTAATGTCAGTTTGTGCAGTAACAAACCAATTGTTATCCCTAAATTCAGTTTTCTGTATTGTAAAACAGTCCTCACAAAAGATAGACAATTTAAATAGATTTTTATAATTAAATAAATTATTCTTTATGAAACTTATAAAATTCAACAAATATTCACTTATTTTTACTACTGCTCAATCTCCATGTTTTATCTAAATATCTGTACTAACCAGAAGATAGAAAATGGTCCTGTTAGATAAGAATCACATGGCTTTTTGAATGTGAAAGGATTTTATCGAAGGTATACAAACCCTTTTACATTTGAATTAAAAATATTTTGGTATTTCCTACTTCATTTTGGGTTAACTGATGAAGTTTAAATGTTTGGTTATCTTATGACATCTTCTCTACTTGTGTATTTAAAGTGTTGTTTTGGATTGTTGCAATAATATATCTTTCAAGAGCTAAGCTTCTCCACAAGTGTGTGTGTGTGTGTGTTTATCAGTTTAAGCTTGTGTTTGTTAATAAGACCCTATTTAAAGCCTAATATTTCACAGTGTGCGAGCTTTGTGTTTAATGTTCGTTTTGTGCTGTTTTGTTACAGAGTAGCTATTGTAATAATGATTTTTGTCAACTACAAGGGAGGCAGATACTACTTCTTTCATCATGCTCGTTGGAACGGCCTTACGATAGCCGATGTTGTGTTCCCATGGTTAGTTCTGGTGCTTTATTAATTTAGCAAGTAAATAACATTATTTCTCTCATTCTTCTGTTGTTTTGCTCTTTTTTTTTTTTAGCATTGCATTATTGGTGATGATATTTGTGAATTATGGAGGAGGCCAGTACTGGTTTTTTGACCATACTCCATGGAACGGGCTTCACTTAGCCGACCTCGTCTTTGCATGGTTTGTGTTACAATGTATATATTGGTGTTGGGGATTTTTTTCCCAGGGTAAATTTTACTGTGCAGTCATGCAGTGTTTATGTTATTGCAGAAATTTTAAGATTGAAATACCCATGACTTCAGGATAATCTAAGTGAGAGAGTTATAACAAATGACATTTTGTACCCATAACTCTAGGATAGTACTAAGGTAGATAAGAAATGACATTTTGTACCCATAACTCTAGGATAGTACTAAGGGGAGATAAGAAATGACATTTTGTACCCATAACTCTAGGATAGTACTAAGGGAGAGAGAGTTATAGAAATGACATTTTGTACCCATAACTCTATAATAGTACTAAGGGAGATAAGAAATGACATTTTGTACCCATAACTCTAGGATAGTACTAAGGGAGAGAGAGTTATAGAAATGACATTTTGTACCTATAACTCTAGGATAGTACTAAGGTAGAGAGAGTTATAGAAATGACACTTTGTACCCATAACTCTAGGATAGTACTAAGGTAGAGAGAGTTATAGAAATGACATTTTGTACCCATAACTCTAGGATAGTACTAAGGTAGAGAGAGTTATAGAAATGACATTTTGTACTATTGAAACAGGACACATTTAGGGACCTGTAGAAGTACATCTAGTTATTACCACTTATAATATGACCAGTAATCCAAAATGAGGTACAGGTGAAGGTTTAAAATGGCCACACAGTGTTATGCTTCTGCTATATTTTTCTTTCCTGCAATCTTGTCACACAAGAGCGATATTATCTTAGCCTCCTGAGAAAGTATTCACAACAGATAGAAAGTTCCTTATTTTATATAGAGTTAACCCATCTGCTCTCCTATCCCTGAGGATTTTTTTTACTTGATAGTTAACGTTTAATTATTTCATTCAAAGTACAACTACTCTCTCTCCTAACCCTAACAGTAATACAAATACTATCTCTTCTAACCCTAACAGTAATACAAATACTATCTCTTCTAACCCTAACAGTAATACAAATACTATCTCTCCTAACCCTAACAGTAATACAATTACTCTCTCTCTCCTAACCCTAACAGTAATACAATTACTCTCTCTCTCCTAACCCTAACAGTAATACAATTACTCTCTCTTGTAACCCTAACAGTAATACAACTACTCCCTCTTTCGTAACCCTAACAGTAATACAACTACTCCCTCTCTCCTAACCCATCATTCTTTACTTACAGAGGTCACTTATTCATGCAACCACTATTCTACTGTTATTGTTGTATTTAACAAAAAAGTCATAAATTAATGGCTATTTATGTGCAAAATAAACGATATTGAAAGGTTAGATTTCTGGTCATCTGTCTTGCTTTACTATTGAATAAAATGTTTCAATTTCTTGCACTCGTTTAAATGGGTGGATGTGTTTTACATGGACATGGGTTAAGCATGGACCAGTGATGTTATAAAAGTTATTGTAAAGTCCAACTATTTGGTCTTAAAAGAGTAACCCAAGAGTTTATGGTTTGATACATAATCTTTGAGAAAAACAGTTATGTTTTTTTCTGCTACTTTTCTTTATCACTTAAATGATATGATATTAAAGTATATGGCTAAGGGTAAACAATGTAGAAAGAACAGCATAACAACAGAAAGCAAATTACAGCATAAAAAATATAAATGTAAAATATCATTATTGACCTGTTTGCTACATATTTTTAATATTAAGGAGTAGAAAAGCAGACTCTTTGTGTAATGTCAAGTCTCTAGCTGAAAAATGGCCTTTACAAGAAGTGTTTTTCATGTAATTGCTGTATATAAAGTTTCTGTTAACTGTGCTTGTGTATCTAAATAACTTATGTAAAATATGAATGCAAATATTTGTTGTGAAAATGTGATCAAACTCATCCTTTAAATGATTATGAGAATTTGAAATGCTGTTATTTGTCTTAAACAACATATAAATAAATTGAATAGATTACATGAGTAATTACAGTTTTCAAAAAGTTGCTATCAGTACGTATCTAATTCTTTCTGATTACAGAAGTATTCAACTTAGAACAAAATAGTTCTTGTCAGTTGTAGTTTGAAACAACTTAGAACAAAATAGTTCTTGTCAGTTGTAGTTTGAAACAACTTAGAACAAAATAGTTCTTGTCAGTTGTAGTTTGTAACAACTTAACCAGTTTTATTCTTTCAACTATTAAACATTTTTTAACCAACTGATAAGACAGTTTGTTGACTAACAAAGTTTATTTTATTCAAAACTTATAGCATTGAATTTTATATTTTTATTTTATTAATTAATATCATATAATATTGGATTATATTGTTAGAGTAGATTATTGCATATAATGAAAGCTAAATTTATTTTATAGTGTGAATCCATGTATATTTCTTTTTTAGCATCAGAAAATGTACTAAAAAGTTGTTTTTTCTGCAGGATACAGTTTTATTTTCATTATTTTTCTATCAATATACAGATTTTCTGCTTGTTTATTTGTTGATATATTTGTGTAAGTTTTCAATTGGTTAGGTTTATGTGGATAATGGGAACATCCATGGCTTTATCTATGAGGTCCTTGCTACGAAAGTCTGTCCCAAGACGACGAATTTTTATGAATATCTTGAAACGCTCCTGCATTCTGTTTGCTCTTGGAATAATTCTGAACACTTATGGAGGAAGTGAGTTTTAAAGCCATTAGTGAATCATAGTTATTATTTTGATTCAAGAGAATACAACATATATATATATTTAGTAAAAAGGATATATATTCAAAATCATTTAATTAAATCTCGTGATAATCATCATACAGATTATATAGGATCAATGGAAGACTAATATATTCTTATATGTGCCATTTCAGTAAGTGAACAAATCATTTGAGTTTAAGTTATAATTGAACCAGAAACTTATATAAATTGACAAAGATTTGGTGATAGTAGCATCACTGAACATTTATATAAATTGACAAAGATTTGGTGATAGTAGCATCACTAAACATTTATAGAAGCAGAAGAAAGAAGAACAAATAAGTCAAACTTTTTGCTATGATATTCACAGACATTGTCAGAACTTGTGATTCAGTCATTACATATATATTGTTATAAAATGAAACACTGTATAGTAATGTAAAGTTCTGTTGAACTGTTGAGGAGATATTTAAACTAACAATTTGATGAACAATCCAGGCCATCCCTACATAGGCAGTGCTGTCACCTGTCTGATAATCTATCTTCAAAAATATTACATAATTGGTTTTATAAATAACTTCAAAAATCATAATTACTAAAAACATGTATAGAGAGCTTATCAGGCAAGCAAAATGCTTTTTGGTATCATTTCAAAATATTTTTTTAGATTTATTAGCCATTATCATCATGTGTAGCACAATGAATGAATAATTAATGGAGACTGTTTAGCTGGTGTCCTTGAACCTCAGTAATATATACCTACTCACAATTAAGTTTCTGTGA